TGAATCCTTCTCTTTCCTGGAGAAGCAACCACTCTCTAACCTGATTTATCAGCCAGACAGTTTCACTTTATGGAAAGGGAAGTCTGACCTCGTAGCATTAGGATTCATTTGCTCGACGGTAGGCAAGTACTTTTTTTTTTTTAACCAGTCGCTGCTATTTGGTCATGATGTATGTAATGCACCAAATCCCGTAGGAATAAAGGCAATAACGTCTTTCTTCTTGATCAAATTCACCAAACATTCTCTTTGTTCCAGCTTTAAATCCTCAATCTCGGGAATCGTTGCCAAGACAGAATGTATGGCTTCATCTTCATCCATCTCGACCTCTTTGTTTACTGTTGTGCTGTACCACAAAATGGACCCAGACAGACGCTTGAGTTTGACGTCATGACTTCACAGCTCTTCCCTGATTGGCCGGTGCGCGATCTATAACTTCCGGGATTCTTGCAAAGGTGAATCGTAAGTTTATCACTCATTAAGAAAATAAAAATGGTCAGCAAAGTAAGTTCAGAAGAGCAGTGGGCGTGTACTGTGGCGGTGAAACTAAGGATCTTGAAAATAAGAGATTAAATTACTGAAACATGCACAAATCACTCCAGATACAACTTTGAGTGAGTAAATGTTGAGGGTAAACAACTATAACATTTTGCACAATAGATCTGCTTTAACTAGGCTACATTTTATAACATCTTCTCACCGTCAGCTCCGTTTTAAAGTCTAAAATGATTTAACACGCAGCCAGTGCCTTCAAGAACCCACCATAATCTAAAAATATGTGGTCATGATGATGGCTACAAAATCTTGCAACACAATCCAGCGCTCCAAGATAAGACCGTATATTAGCCGTACCAAAAAAATAAAAAAATAAAACCACATGGACAGAACAGCGTCGACAGGGTTGCCTGATACTGCTTCGGGGTCAGTCTGTCCTGGCAACAACCGGCGGTAACACAGCTCCAGTCTGCCCGTCCAAGCTGCATACTAACCGCTAGCCATGGGGAAAGTCTATTTTTATTTGAAAGCAGCTAGATTTTCTTTTGCCGATAGATTTGCATGTGATTTCACAGTTTGCTCGGCGATCCTTGGAGCTAGTAGTACTGCACTGTGGAAAGATAAGTTACAGTGGGAGTACAGGGATCATGTGATAGGCTTGTAATACGATTTTCCATACTTGTACATGAAGAAGTACTGAAAAACTACACTGAAACTTCAATGTTACAAGTAGTTCGACGATATATTGCAGTAAGTTAATACAGCGGTCCCTCGTTTATCATGGGGTTACGTTCTAAAAATAACCCACAATAGGTGAAGTAGTCAGCTTTATATTTTACAATTATTATATCTGTTTTAAGGCTGTAAAAACCATCACCACACACTTTATACACTTTTTTTTCAGACAGGAGAGTTACAACCCTTTTTACATCCTTCTTAAAACTTATTGCTGCTGTCGTCCTTATGTTATGTAACGAACCGAAGATGAATTTATTCCGTAATGGAGCCCGACAGAGCAGAGTCCAGCACGGGTCCATTTTTGGAGACCCCCACAACACCGCACCCACCCGCACCTGCCCTTTAACCTGAGATTATATCAAACTTTTCTGATGCCTACACCACGGACTGAACCTAGACTAAACCAGGACTAACCCAGGACTAACCTAAGACTGATTCCAGAGGAGGACTAAACCAGGACTGAACTAGGACTAAAATAGGACTAAACCAGGACTGAATTAGGACTAAACCAGGACTGAACTAGGACTAAAACAGGCCTAAACCAGGACTGAACTAGGACTAAAACAGGACTAAACCAGGACTAAACCAGAACTGAAACACCTTGCCCAATAACGATTTGTGGACAGACTGCTCGGGGTTCTGTCTGTAATTACTACCCGCCCATAATACGTAATACGTGTTCATACACTGTAAAAAAAATAAAAAAAATAAATTAAAAAAGCAAAAATTGCACTAAAATTTAAATCTGCGAAAGCCTCCCCACCATATCAGGATCTTTCCCACGATATCAACAATAAATATCGTACCGTGAGGTTCATACTGTGACGATATCGTATTGTGAGACTTTGACATCGTTAAACCCCTATAAATAAGTATATTTATGTTTTAAATACAGAGATTGTAGAACAGCTGGATATATAGTTTATTTTAGATACATTCATGTTTTTCTATGCCTTATTTCATGTTCAAAGAATATTTTTTATTCATTTTATGTTTTATACATTACAAAACTGCTCTGTGGTGCATGTTTGTAGCCTATCTTTATTTTCAAGTTTTGAGTAAATTATCAAAAACCAAGAGAGAGAGAAATGCTGAATAAATGCAGCATGTAACTAAAAGAAATAATTATTTGAATAATCGTGATTTCAGTATTGACCAAAATAATCGATATATATATGATAATGATTCACTAACTGAAGCTCCCACTTAAAGATGTAAAAGAGAATTGTTGAAGAGATGATTAAGAATTTTGCAAAATTTTGTTCAACAGGAACGAATTAATCGATCTTTTTCTCTTTTTCTAGCTGTATAGTAAGAAAATAAAACTGTATATATTTCTGTTTGCTCAAACTATAAATGTGTTAAAAATAAATCCCTCAGCCATTTCAGCAGATCTCAAACTGTACGAAAAATACTTCTACTTTTCAGTCCAAAAATATAGTGCAGTAGTATATATATACAAGTACAGACAGCTGCTCTTAAATGTAGAGAAGTAAAAGTAAAAAGTTTCCTCTGTAAAATGTTAATTAAAGTACAGATACTTAAAAACATCATCTTCTGTTAGTCCGAGTAGAGCCAGGTTGTAATGTAGCCAGTCCATTACTTGGGCCTAGGGTTAGTTAAAAGGTAAAATGAGGAACTGAAACAAAGTTTAAGAAATGTTTATTGAAAATGTATGTGCAGATTGAAGTTACCTGTAAAAGAAAAGGAAATAAGTAAAAAAAAGTGCATTTAAATTCTCTGGTGTGGTCTGCCTCAGGTGCTCCGGCCAAAAGAGTCCCCGGGGAGCCAGAGCACCTTAAGAAGGTTCCGGGGCAGCCAACCATGTTGTTTGGAGGAGGGGAGCACAATTTTTTAACTGGTTCTATTTAGTATTTTAGGGCATTGAACACTGCTAATTTAAATAAAGATATATATATTTTTGTAATGTATGTAATTGGATGTTGTTTGGGCACTGTTGGATAGTTGGTTTTTAGATATTAAATGTACAAATTATTGGTGCTTACCTGATCGTTAAAGTGGGCTCACCCAATTAGTACAGGGCCTTTAAAAGAAGCCAGCCTCACCTTGTTCAGGAGAGGTGCTGTGTGAGCGCAGGTAACTGCTATACCTGTTTTAACCTTTTTGGAATTTTTGTAAATAGTTTTTGTTTTGTCTTTAATAAATGCACTGGGATCTGCACTGTAAACTGGCTCAACTTGACTCTGTTCCTCCTAAAACCGCTAAGGTTGCCACCAGGCTATTACACAGGTTTATTGCGAAACTCAATTTGAACTGTTGCTATTTTACCGGTGTCATAGAACTTCTTCCAAGATTCAACATGGGTGATTTATGTCAGCAATATATACGGTGGCACAGCATAGCAGGATACCAGTGTTATTAATATGGGTGAGCAAATCCGCCCACACATACATCTGCATTTGTAATGACGTTACCCATGTCACCTACTGTTCACTGTGCACTGTGAATCATGCTGGGCAGGCCTGTAAAATGCATATCTTTAAGAATCTGACTTTAAATATACCTTTAATTTATGAGCACTTGTACTAGGTTATATTAGGAGGCCTGAATGCTCGTTCTGTAGTACTCGAGATCATTTTTTTTACAGGCTTGGTCTCGTCTTGGACTTGAGTGCATTTGGACAGGGTCTTGTCTCGGTCTTGAAGGTGCTTGGACTCAGTCTTGTCTTGGACTCGAGGACTGACACTAATGTAGCTCCAGTTAGGAACTTGAAAAGACAGAATACTTTCTTCAGTTTTCTGTAAAGTGCCAGTGGAAGTGATCTCAAAAAAGGGGCACAGAGCAGTACAGTACAGCTTCCTTGACTTATTTTAAGCTTAAATTGACATTTATCAGTTAAAATGGAGATAGATTTATAAAAACTTTGATATGCATGTCCCAAAATAACTGTAAAATACAAATAAATGTCAGAAATTTCAACGATGGTCTTGATTTTGTCTCGATTTCTTCTCGATGGGGCATGGTCTCGGTCTTGTCTCGGTCTCGACCTTTAAAAATCTTGGTCTTGTCTCTGTCTCAACCCTCAGAGGTCTGGGTCTTGTCCTAGTCTCGGGACCTAATGGTCTCAGCCTTGATCATGATCTCGATTAGTGCAGTAAACGTTGATCATCTTAAGGTCCCACATGACGTAAAACTGACTCTCGTGAGCTTTAAGCCATGTTCGAATGCTGTTACCTCATCAAAAACAGACCTGGAATTGTATTTCGCTTCATTCGCACATTTTAGTAAGCCTTTATTATTAATCTCTCTAAATCTCCAAAGCCCAAAACGCTCAGTTCCACCTTCTGATCTCATTAAACAGAAGCTTTCACGTTAACAGTGACCTTTACTTCAGCAGAGTTTGGCAATTCCAGGCCTGAAACCATCCACATGCTTCTAATGGAACTGGAGCACTTCCTGTATAACTCCATGACATAACAAGGTGGAACTGAGTGTTTTGAGAGATTCGATACATGATAAATATGAAAGGATTGTGTGTTTTCAACATGTGTGAATGAACCAAAACACAACTCTGGGTATGATTCTGATGAGGAAACATTATAACGTAGATCAGTATAAACCATAATAAAGGTCGTTTAAGTTATTATTAGATATTCTATTCTATTAATCGATTCATTTTTACTAACCCGAGTTGAATTTATTGTTGTTTTTTTATGTGTTGTGTTATAATATTGTCCCATCGAAATTATCTTAGCAAAATTTTAATGTATTATTTATTCATCGACTCAAGGATCACCCAACAAATGCACTTATTTTCAAGCATTTTAATACAAACTTAATAAACTATCAGTCCCTCTTAACATGTAAGACACTGACTCAGAATACTTTGTTATACCGTCTTGTTTTTATCAAGTATTGCACAATGTAGGTACAAAATTAATATACGATTACATTTTGTCCATAATATAGCAAAAATCTTTAAACTCTTAACAGAAAATACAACTCTTATGTTTTGTCAAAAAAGCAAATATCCTTAAATCCCACCACTACGGAATATTCTGTACACAATCTTTAGAATAGTTTTTCAAAGATGGATTCATTTATTTATAATTTCAATAAAAAAAGAAAACATAAAGTTGCTGCAGCCATCACAGATCACTGGAGTAGTAAAAAGATATAAATGCAATACCATGTCGTAGAAACAATAGATACTCTGATATTTTACAAACTCTGTACTAAATTAAATTATACAATTAGAAAAAAGACCAAGAAATCCCACGTATTTAAGCCAATTTATGCAAAATTGGCGGTGTCCAGTTTGTGTTTAAATACTGACAGGCCATGACTCGTGGTGGTATTTCGTTGTTGTTTTTTTTTTGTCTTTTATATATCTTAAAACAATTACATAAAAAAATAGTTTGTGCTTGGTTGGCAAAAGAAATAACAATGATTTATGTCGCACGTTTAAGTAACCAAGCTTGGACATCTGGTACTACAAGCTTCATACTGGAAATTTCAACTCAAGGGGGAAAACGACGTCACCCTTGGGCTCATGCTGTTACAGACTTGTGACCAATAAGATCTTACGCCGCACAAGTCCTCTTTTTGAAATGACATTCGCTTTGTTTACATTTTTTGTAGAGGTTTTTTTGAAATTTTCTTTTATAAATGTGCATTAATGTATACGTTCCCCCTGTCACATTATCTCTGGCCGTTTTTGTCAACACTGCAGAAAAGGAACAGCGAGGATCGAAATGGCTTCTCGAGCAGTTTTGACTAGATGAGTGTACTGACTGGTTTTAACGTTGGGATCGTGATACGGCGAAACGCTCCGGTCGCAAATGATGCACGTTTAACGGCTTCGTATTCCCCGTGAGAGGTAACATAAGTCTGCTTCTTCTGACAGTTCACGCTTCAATGTGACTGGTTCAATACACCTGTGACTCAAAGCATGACAAAGAGCGGGGCAAAGTGTTTAAATTTCAAGTGCAATCGTGTTGAATTTGCGATAAAATATTAAAACCAGTCAGAAACATTCAGTACTTCTTGGGTTCTTTTGAAAGAGCGTACAGTGGGAGATTTGTTTACCTCGTTGACACCAGCAAAAACCGGTGACATTCGGAAACACGAACTCCTTGGCGTTGGGCGAAACGGTGGACGACTTTCTGAAGTCTTGCCACTACCAGTCAAAACATGTCAACAAGGTAAATAAATCTCCCATTGTATTGTCTTTAAAAGGAACCCAAGAAGTCAACGTACAAAAGAACACAAAATGTACGTTTTTGGATCATCTACGTCTCAAACTAGTCAAAACTACGAGTCAAATCGACGAACATCCTGAAATCATTCCAACCGACGCAACTATTCCTTTTGTGCAGTGCAGTAGTAGCTTAAGTAGTACCTCTTTTATGAGTACTTAGTTGGCCATAACTGGCTGGAATTGCTGGTTTGAATACTGCATGTTGTTCAAGCTGAAATTCAAGCCATCCATGAGGGACTTGTCGTTAAGGCCACCGTAGGCGGCGAACACGTCAAAGGCATTGCTGTACGGGAGCGAGCTGAGGTTGAGCGAACTTTCCGGAAACAGCGCGCTCTGATTACCCTGCCCCTGCAAATTCGGAAACACGAACTCCTTGGCGTTGGGCGAAAGCGCGGACGACTTTTGGTGCGCCCCCCCGAGTCCTAATCCGTACAGAGAGTGCATGGAGCTCGACATGGCTTTTTGCTTGAGGAGATTGTTCACGTTGAGGCCCAGATTGGTCGGGGAGGTACGCGCGGCTGCGGGCTTGCTCCCGGCGCCGCTGGCCCCGTTGGCGTTCCCGTTGCGCCCGCTGCTCTTCATTTTGGTGGAGCCGAACTTGGTGGCCGCGAACGTCGCCGTGGTAAAGGTGAGGGGTTGGGTGGAGCGGGGCATGAAGGTGGGGCTGACCGCCGCGGAGTGACCGAAGGGTGGAGACGGCGAGCTGGACCCGGGCGAGGCGTTGAGGGGCTCGTTGATGGGCATGAAGACCTGGGCGTCCGGATTGAAGCTGTTGCGGATCTCTTTGTCCAAGTCGAGAGTGCTGTTCACCTGGTCGCCGCTATCGTCCACGTATAGCACCTAAAATGGATCAAACAGAACAGACACTTAATGATTTTGTTTTGTTTTTGATTTTGTTTGTTGTTTGATGTAACGATGTCCTTGTCCAAGATTGGAGTCAGGAAGAAGTTTTTGTTCTCGATTACTATCAAGATTGTTTCTATTAGTGACAAAACCCAAGAACTCACTCTATTACAACAAAAATCTGCATTTTAACAATCCTGATTTTGATTCTGTATTAAATATTATTGGCCTATAGAATGTAGAACCCCACAATACATCAAAACTCTATAGAATTATCTTAACATAGCAAATTATGGACTCATTAATGACCAAGTTAATCGTATTTATGTCAAAACTACTTGAAAATACAAACTTATATATAGAGAAATACTAGTGCTGGTTCCTATCTGAGAAAGACATGACCACATTGTAAACGTTTACAGGTCCAAATCAAAATGGCTACCTTCCAGCTTCAATAAACTTCAGTAATAATTGCTTTGTAAGGGTGTTTAATTTTATGACACTTTGCAGTTACGCTCGGAGTTTAAAATACTTTGCAAAGTGCCAGGTAGTTAAGATCGAATTCAGCTTTCTGATAGTTTCAGTGGTGCTTTTATGTTTTCTTGGCACAGGAGAGTCAAGGAATCATTTATTTAATAGTCGAAAGTACTGAGTTGAATCTTTTTTTTAATGTTTTGTAACCTTTTGCTGCGGGTCGTTTTCTAACAAGTGCGTTTCATAATCTGCTCTCTCCATCGATGACATGTTAATGAGTGACTAGAAGGTTGGTCGTTGAAAACCCACTTTGACAAATTTGTATTATCTTCGTGTCCTTGGGAATGACACTCTTTTTTATTTTTTTTGCCTTGTCAGTATACAAATAAATGTCATGTTTTCACCGTTCTAGGTTAGTGTGGCTATAGAAGCTTCCAGATTTGTGTTTAGTTTTGATAAAAGGATTCTGTTCAAAGTTTAACGGGTTCAGAATAAACAAAAAGATTGACGTGAACTGACAAACTAGTATAAAAACACTTCAGAACATGTTTGAAAAGATCTAAACTATAGTGTTCGAAGTAAAAAAGCAAAATAAGACAGAATATTTTGTTGTTTGTGGAGGAAATTATGGAATAATTTGCAAATTGTGCATATTCAAATTTCGATTTTGATTAATCTTTTGTCCTAAATCAACTTTGAGAGTCTAAACAGAGCATTACTTTTTTATTAAGACGTAATCTGTGGGAAGTATCACGATCTCTACCTTGACTGGCCCCTTCTCTCCGATCTGGTAGGACACTTCGTAGGGGTCGATCCACACGCTGAGCTCCTGGGGCAGGTTGTTCCGGACGTCGTCGATGTCCAACCCGCTCTCCTTGGCCGCCTTCTCGACCACCGGGTCCACCTTCTCCCCCACGTGGATGCACCTGAACCCGGACCCTTTGTATGGCTTATCGGGGTACCAGTGGCCCTCATATTTCTGCTTCAACTGCCTCTCCAACTCCTCCCCGAAAATGTTGACGCGGCGCCGAGGCAGCTTGTTGTACAGGTAGGAGATGATGAAGTTGAGAGCTACTTGGATTTCTAGCTGCATAGCGTTTCACTGAATGTAGCGAGAGGTTGAAAGAGCTTGTTCCGCTAGATTGTTGTTGCTCTTGTGCGTGGTTGGCAACTCAAATTTTGTCCAAGCGGGATGGCTGTGGAACCCAAAGTGAATGAAGTCAAGTTGGCTCAAATCAAAAGTGCTGGTTTAGTTGAACTGTGGTGTGTTTTTTTTTCCACAGGATGGTTTTTTTCCTGCAACGACAAAGGAGACAATAGCGCCATGTAAGTCTTTCACATTGGAAAACAGTGCACATTGTTAGTGTCATTTTTGGCAGTGGCTGAGCGAGGGACAATGCATTTGTCACTCTAAGCAAAGTGTCAAAATAAAACTGAAAAGATTTATTTTTAATATTGCCGATTATTTATGAGTAGTCTTGTCAAAGTACTAAAACTTCAAGGTCGAGTTCGATAATAAAGAATAGACTCGATATACAAATGATCATCTTAAAAGCTCTTCTTTTTAGACAATATTGTAATTTTCAACACAAATCATGAGAGATTGTCTAGTATACTTTGCAGTTTTACTCTAGTTCTGATAAAACTCAAGTTAAAACTGTTTCAGAAAGGTCAAATTTTATCCAGTTATGTGATTATATTTTGGTTTTTTAGTACTAATACTTGCTTAAATGAGTATCTTGTATCTGGTATCTTGTATATTGACAACTGTAAATGTGTTTTGTTTGTTGTTTCTGCTGTTCTTACTCCTTTTTGTTTTGTTCTTTTACCTTTATAAAGTATTTGTCTTGAAAAACAATATAAAATGTATGTATCATGAAAAGAATTAGAATTTATTTAAAATTATTATTTAACTAAAGTACTGAAAACAAGTGGAAGTTTGGATTGTGTTCCATTGTTGCTCTTACTTTTGTAAAAAATAATATATAAATCAAATATAGGCTAGTACTCTGTGTAATCTGTAATGTAATATAAATATGTTAATTAGATATTGACAATAAGCCATAATTGGATTTCTATGTCATGTTCTTCTGTTGTGTAATAATTATTTTTGCACAACTCATGTTCTATTTTTGCACTTCCCATTAAAAATTACATAAAGCTATATCAGATAAACGTATTGTGAGTCATTTAACATGTGTTCTAGGTTTATCATTAGAATAACGCACAGATAACTAGTGGTACTAATTAGGTTTATGTGTCACTACATTGTTGTGTGACACTTTCCTTTTAAATCCCTCACAAAGGTATAGACCAACGCACAAGGCAGCCCTGGCCCTGTGGAATCCAGTTACATAATAGCCTACATTATGTTACTGAGCAGCGTACTGACGTTTGCACGAAGGAAAAAAAAAAAAAAAAAAAAAAAAAGAAAAACTCGTGCGTGGACAGTGAGTCTAATGTAAAACCTACCCAACGCCTTATTGACAATCGCTTTTGACGTAATTTCTGTAAAAGAGTGCTCGTTTTTATTGCAATATGTAGTTTTATTGCAGGCGTAACCCTTTTGGCACAGCTTGGTTTGGTATGCGCGCAGCACTAGCCATACGGTACCAAGCCCCATATTGAAAACACTGTTGAAATAAGCCACTGTTGTTACGCCCATGTTGGCAAATTTACACAGCCAGAACGAACGCAAAACTGGATCGAGATACGCGCTGCAGCTGCGTAGATATAGTTAAATAAATAATGAAAATAATTACGCGATAAACAAATTATCGTAACGGCTGTCAGGCATCGCATTCGTAGCTTATTTGAATGTTATCACGCACTTTTACGCACGAAATACCCAAAGCGAATTCGTGTATTTCGCATTGCTCCTTACAATGTTAATAATCTTGCGTAATCTTGCTCTCGTTTGGGCGAACTGTCATTGGAAATAAAACGCCTCAGGGAAAAAAACTGATGGAAGTTGCGAAATGGCTACAGGTCTTGTTGCGTCTCAACCCGCACCAACAGCAAGCCCCGTTACACAGAGCCTATTTGCACAGACTAGCAAACCAAACATCCAACACTAATGACATTTTAACTCCCGCAACAGCCCGGGGAGGATTATACCCGTGCGTAAAACTAACACGGTGGTTGTATTAAGACGTGTCGCTGTAGCCAAGGGTAAGATAAGAAATAAGTACAGTTTTATCGCTTGGAAAAACACATCCACCCCTCCCTAAGTTCACACTGACGCAGCAAATCAGCATAAGTATGTAAAAGACATTGGCACAGCATTTAACCACAAAATTACGCAAAGGTTATGATGACAAGCAGCCTAGAGCATACTTACTTTAGTAAAAAATAAGGATTCTCAGTAGTAGTTCAAAAGTACCGTTAGTTAGTGCAAATAAAAAAGTATAAATACTTTCTTCACATAGAATATATTATGAACTGTACAAAAAAGTAATCCAGTACGCGTAGATTTTGAGGATTGGCGTTCACGACTCTCTTCGGTTGCTATTTTAAATTTTTGAAGTATATTTTCGTCCTCCTTCAGCAGGCTTGCAGAGTAGCTCCCTCCTACACGGGAGTGTAGCAACTTCGTCCCCCTGGCTGCTCCACCGTCGCCTGTATATATAGCCTCCCTCCGCCACGGGCACGAGGTGGGCGGTGATGCGGTTCCAGAGGTCAAAACAATACGAATAGAGCTGATTGGTCCCGAGCGCATGTCCCGCCTCCAGCGTTATCGCCAGGACGCGTGCTGATTGGCTACCGCGCGCTGTCACTTTGGGAGACATATGATCCGGGCTGTGGAACGGGGAGAGACGCCTATGAGGAGCTGTGTTTGCGTCAGAGCTAACCTACCCAGGTCTGTGCTGACTGCAAAAGGCAAAAGTGATTAATGTTATGGTAAAAACACGGGTGCAAGACAGTTTTTCGTTTTCAGACAAACGTTGGCGTATAGATGCCACAATAAACACGCTGTCATGTGATATAAACCGGTTATTGCATTGGTTGAGGTTAGAAACTGCTTGTTTTTGTGATCATTTCTCATTAATTTATCTTTATTCCATTGAGCCATTACGCTTTTACGCGTTCTTAAACGTTTTTACGCACAGTCGCTCTCGGTAATCTAGTCATCTATCATCAACACGACATTTAAACCAAGATTTCTTTATTGTCATTCCCCATGTATCCACGAAGAACGACATTTTAGTCCCAAGGAATCATAAGATAACGCTGACATTCAAGCGAAGCCGTTTATGTAGAGGAGATTCCCTGCAAAACAACCCAGCCGGCTGCAAAGCGGAGAGCCGCGGGTGCGTGGGTAGCTGGGTGGGTGGGTGGATGGGTGCTGCCGAGCGCTATCGAGAAAACACACGCGCTGATTGGTCCAAAACGGGGCAGGAGCGTGGAGGGGCCCAACGGCGAGTGGTGTGCCCGTATCCAAGGTGCTGATGTCGGCTGCGCACGTCATAGCTCGCACGGACGCACGCCGATGCCAAATTTAAAGCGCCCCAACAGGCATATGAAGTAACAACAACAGGCAGCCAAGTGCACCGTGTCACTGTCGCTTCGCCCTCCACTGCGCTTAAACATTAGCCGCGCTGATAATGGAAGACGTATTACGATCCAGGGACTGACAAGTAAATGATTAATAATAGTCATCCCAATTGTATTTGTCCAAATGTCAGACCGGGTATAAATGGAAACAGTATTGGAACATCCTGTCTTCTTTTGAACACAGTGCACCCGCAGTGAAATCTTTATTAAAATAGCAAAATTACACGTAATCATGATAATATAAAAGAAGTAGTGGCTAAAGACTAGCAGCAGTAGTATAGTATTAGTAGTAGTAGCAGTAGAACTTGTGTATTATCACTCAGTAGGCTAGTAATGGTACAAGTAGGCCTGTAGTTGCAGCAATAGTGGTATAGTTTTGTAGTAGTAGCAAAAATAGTAGTATTGGCAGTGAGCAGTAGTTGTATTTGTATGTGGTAGTGAACAGCAGTAGTTCTAGTTCTAGTTGTGGAACAATAAGTACTATTGATAGTAGGAGTAGCAGAAGTAGGAGTAGCAGTAGTAAAATATTGGAGCATTCTTCTTGTGAACACTGTGTCTTAATTCCAAAAAGTACATGTAACCATGAACTTAAAAGTAGTTTTTAAGGACTTGCAGCAATAGTAGTAGTAGAAGTAGCAGCAGCAGCAGCAGCAGCAGCAGCAGTAGTAGTAGTAGTAGCAGTAGAACTTGTGTATTATCACTCAGTAGGTTAGTAGTGGTAGAAGTAGCCAAAGTACTAGCAGTAGTAACCATAAAGTAGCAGCAGCCAGGAGCAGTGTAAGTAACAAAAGTAGTAGTACTGGCAGTGAGCAGAAGTTGTGGTAGTAAACAGCAGTAGTTCTAGTTCTAGTAGAGGTAGCAGTAGTAGTAACTAGTACTATTGAGCAGTAGTTGTAATTGAACAATAAATACTATTGGTAGTAGTAGTAGTTATATCAGTAGTAGTAAATTGGTGCATTATTTTTTCTTATGAACACAGTGAAACACTATCTTAATCCTAAAACAGCAAAAAGTACATGTAACCATGATAACTTAAAATAAGTTTTAAAGGACTTGCAACAATAGTAGCAGCAGCAGCAGCAGTAGTAGTAGTAGTAGTAGCAGTAGTAGCAGCAGCAGTAGAACTTGTGTATTCTCAGTAGGTTAGTAGTGGTAGAAGTAGGATTGTAGCTGCAGCAGTAGCGGTATAATTTTGTAATAGTGGTAGTAGCAGGCCTGGCTGAAGTAGTAGCAGTAGTAGCCGTAAAAGAGCAGTGAGCAGTAGTTGTGGTAGTATAGATACAAGAAGTAGCATTAGTAGTAAAGAGCAGTAGTTTTAGTAGTTCTAGTAGAGGTAGTTTTAATAGTATTGTCACTCTGTAGTAGTAGTAGAAGCACTAATAGCAGTAGTAGTAGTAGTAGTAATTGCACGGTAGTTGCAGTAACTATCACTATTGAGCAGTAGTTGTAGTTGAACAATAAGTACTATTGGTAGTAGTACTAGTAGTAGTAGTAGTAGCAGTAGTAGTAGCTGTAGTAAAATATTGGAGCATTCTTTCTTCTTGTGAACACAGCGAAACATTATCTTAAATCTCAAATAGCAAAAAGTACATGTAACCATGATAACTTAAAAGAAGTAGTGGTTTAGGACTTGCAGCAATAGTAGTAGTAGCAGTATAACTTGTGTATTATCACTCAGTAGGTTAGTAGTGGTAGAATTAGTAGGATTGTAGTTGCAGCAATAGTGGTATAGTTTTGTAATAGTGGGCCAAGCTGAAATAGTAGCTGTAGTAACCATAAGGTAGTAGCAGCCAGGAGCAGTGTAAGTAACAAAAGTAGTAGTACTGGCAGTGAGCAGTAGTTGTATTCGTATGTGGTCGTAAACAGCAGTAGTTCTAGTTCTAGTAGAGACAGTGGTAATACTATTGTCACTCAGTAGTAATAGCACTAATATGAGTAGTAGTAATAGTAAGGTAGCAGCAGTAGCAGTAATGAGTAGTAGTTGTAGTAGAACAATAAGTACTATTAGTAGTAGTAGCAGCAGTACAATATTGGAGCATTCTGTCTTGTGAACATGCCTAATTCTAAAATTGCAAAATCTGCATGTAACCATGATAAGAACTTCTGTATTATCACAAAGTAGGTTAGTATTAGCAGAAGTAGTAGTTGCAGCAATAGTGGTATATACTGTATATATATAGTAATAGTTTTGTAGTAGTGGTAGTAGTAGGCCTAGCTGAAGTAGCAGCAATAGTAACCATAAGTAACCCTAAACAGCAGTAGTTATAGTTCTAGTAGAGGTTGTTTTAATAGTATTGTCACTCTGCAGTAATAGTAGCAGCACTAATAGTAGTAGTAGTAGTAATAGTAAGGTAGCAGCAGCAGTAAGTAGTACAATTGAGCAGTAGCTGTAGTCATCTAGAACATGAAGTACTATTGGTGGTAGTAGCAGCAGCATTAATTATTGTCATCTTTGTGGTCATACAGAAGTAGTACTTGAAGTGGTAGCAGTAGTTGTAGTAGCAGTAGTAGTACAGGGGCAATATTAGTGGTTGCAAAGTAGTAGTGGTAGTGACAGTAAGCAGTAGTTTAGTAGTAGAAGTATAGACCATAACAAAAGTAGTAGTAGTAGTAGTGCGAAAAGTGTAGTACTACTTTTTTCATGCTACTGCAGTACATAGTATACATCATCATGCCATAGTACCTTAAGTAGTTGCAGTAGTTGTAGTAGCAGTAGTAGTATAGGCAGTAGTAGTATAGTGGTTACAAAAGTAGCAGTGGTACTGACACTAAGTAGTAGTAGTAGTAGTAGTAGTAGCAACAGTAGAATAGTTAGTATTAGTAGTAGTGGGAGAAGTATTAGACCATAGCAAAAGTAGTATTAGTAGTAGTAGTGCAAAAAGCGTAGTACTACTTAACTCAATAAAGTTTTCATTCCACTACAGTACATAGTATAATAATCAAGCCATAGTACCTGAAGTGGTAGCAGTAGTAGTAGTAGTAGTAGTAGTAGTAGTAGTAGTAGTAGCAATAGTAGAATAGTTAGTAGTAGTAGTGGGAGTAGTATGAGACCCTAGCAAAGTAGTATTAGTAGTAATACTAGTGCAAAAATTGTAGTACTACTTAACTCAATCACGTTTTCATGCTACTACAGTACACTGTATAACTCATCATGTCATAGTATCTGAAGTGGTAGTAGTAGTTGTAGTAGTAGTAGTAGTAGTAGTAGTAGTAATAGTAGTATTAGACCACAGTAAAAGTAAAAGTAGTAGCAGTAATAGTATAGCAACATATAGTAATATTATAGTATATAGTAATCTTAAGCAGTAGTTTAGAAGTAGTAGTAGCAACAGCAGAATAGTTAATAGTAGTAGTAGTAGTAGTAATAGTAGTAGTGCGAAAAGTGTAGTACTACTTAACTCAATCACGTTTTCATGCTACAGTACACTGTATAACTCATCATGTCATAGTATCTGAAGTGGTAGTAGTAGTAGTAGTACAGGAGTAATATTAGCAGTATAACAAAAGTAGTAGTCGACAGTGGCAGAAGTAGTAGTGGGGAAAAGTGTAGTAGTACTTAAGTCGATTACTTTCCATGTTACTACAGTACATAGTAAAAGTACGGTGCCATTTAGGGCAGTTTTCCGTGGTTTGGGAAAAATCTCTCCTCTGAATGTTTTCCTCACAGACACATCGCCCGTACATTCTTCAGGCACTTAACTCCTGCCAAGCACTATCATGTGCAACCCCCCCCTCCCTCCCCCTCCCTCTCTCCCTCTCTTTTTCTCTCTCCTTCGCTCTCTCTTTACTTCTGTCTCTCTCTCGCTCTTTACTTCCCTCTCTCCGTCTCTCTCATTTTATGTCATATCATTTCCTCCGCGCTCTCTCTCTAACCCTCTCTCTTTCTTTCTCTTCTCACCATCTCTCTCTCTATCTCTTCGTGTCTCTCTCTCTCTCCCTCCATATTTCTCTCATTCACTCGCTCATTCTTTCGCTCTCCCTCTCTCTCTCTCGCTACTTCTCTCTGTCTCCCTCTCTTTATCTCTCTCATTTTATTGCATATTATTTTTCTCTCTT